AAGAACATTGCCACCATAGAATTTCTGTAGTGGACTTTACCTAAAGCATTCAGGATTGATATTTCTACCATGCAGAGAAACCTCTTAAATTGCTTCACCCACCCATGACACTACATCCAGTATTTAAAAGGTTTTGTGGGAAAAGCCACATCCTTCCCAGGTTTTAGACATGGTTTCTCTTACCATGAGCAAATTTAAGATGAGAAAGAGTGCACAAGATAGAAACTCATCACGGATAATAATAATAGAAACACATCGGTGGCTCAAATTCACTTTAACTATTTACTGGCTACAAACTTTTTTTGGAGCGGTTGTATATACTACTATAAACTGTTCTGTTTTCCACTGTGCCCTTTTATCACTTCCTGATTAACAGAGATTGTCACCGAGGTTTTGGTCCCACTCCTTCTAAACTGCTCTAATTATTTCTGAGCTTTTCTCTATTGTCCAAACAAAAGAAGTTATGTGTCATACCATTTTTCCCTTAATTGAGGATAGAGGTTTCAATAAATCATGTAAATTGATTTTAATAAGTTCATTACTGTGTTATTTTTTTCACAGATTACCAAGTGAGTGGTGACAAATTGGCTCACAATCAAGTACTGTGTGCAATCCAAGAGTTAGAATTTTAGCTCTGCTGTTCTTTTTAGGCAAGTCCTGGGGAAAACTGTCTCCTACCAATACAGATGGCTATGATAAAAATACCAGTAAATCAATTTAATCATTAAAATGTGAAGAAGAAATTACTAAAACTAAGAATACAATACATGTATGTAAGAAAGTTTTTTTTAAAAAGAAAAGCTTCTTTTAAACTTGCATCTCATGAGAAAGTGTGGGTGTATTGTTCTTACTTTCTGCATCTTTCAGATCAGAAAACTGAGGCCCCAACAACTTAACCAACTACCCCAAGGTCTCCACTAGGAAGTGTCAGGCCTGTGACATGGATCTCTAAGTAGCTCCAGTGTTAACTTAGCTCCCATGCTATATCTGTGTCTTTTTTTTTAGTGAAGTCACACATGTTATTGTCACTGGTAAGAGACTCTCATATAATAAGGAGCCTAGAATGTCAGATTAAAGAGTCAATTCTGTTAATTTTTGAAGAATTTAGAAGGACATAAGCTGGGAATGAAAGTGGTATTTTTATTTATTTTTTATTTTTAAGATAAATTTTATTGTGTATATTTAATGTGTATATATATGTAGAGAGAGATAGTTAAATGTTTACTATAGTGGAATAAATTAGCAAATCTTACATCTCACATGTTAAAAATAATCATGAGATTATTAAGCACTAGTGGAATTCTTCTTGGAAAAAAAAAATTGCACTTCTTCCCCTGAGGCAAGAGCAGCTATAATCCACTCAATCAGTAAAAATCCTGAATGCAATGCATTGTTATTACCTATAGCTCTCATGATGGAATTGGTTCTTGAGATTCATACATCCAACATATTTTCTGTTTGTAAATTTGTCCTCCATCTCCCCATTTCTTCCCCCACCCCAACACTGGTAACCAAGGCAGTATTTTTAAAAGTTTGGTTTTGTAAAGTATTGGAAGAGGAAGATCTTTGAGACATTGATTTAAATAGTTGAAAGCTTCTGCTCAGGCTTTGTGATCCATGATGTGCATGCATACGTTCAGCTTAAATAATTCTGAAATTTAGTTGTCAATAAGGGTATCAAGACTTCTTAATATAAACAAAGGTTAGGTCTATGCTTTAAAATTAAGTGAGAGAAAAATTTATATAGATATTTTCTTGGTAATACACCTTTAAACAGGATATTTTCTACCAGAGGATGTCTTAGCACTGTTTAGCTTATGATACCAATTCAACCACAATTTAAATAATCTTTATTAAATTGAGGAGCATATTCCCTCAGTTTTTCTTTTTTCTTTATTGAGTACTGTATTAGCTTCCATTTTGGTTTTTCAAATGTTAATCTAACTGTGTGAGGGAATATGTATTTTCTATTTTGCCTAACCTCATACTGATAGATGAGTTGAAAGGACATTCTAACCATTTTCTTCCATCAAAATCTTCCTTTAAACATTTTATTCATTAAGAAATTTGCCATATTTATAAATAAGTACTGTAGAATGCATCTTCTGGAGAATTGGATAAACTTTGAGAAGACCTATTTGACAGCACTCCATTATATTGTTTAAAGGACAAGCCGTCATTTACTTGCCTTATTTTCAAGTGTGAGATTTTTTTTAACATCTTCAGCCTCATAGCAAAAATAAGCATGTAGGCTAATACAATGTGTCGGCATTGCATAGCCATTATTTCCTTTAGTTATAAAAATTAATATCAATGAGAACAAGCTTTTTATGGAGCTGATATTTTGGGAGGGAGGAATTCTTAGGAGAAAAGAATGGGTGAAATTTTAACTATTTTAAAGTAATTGCTATGCCTAGCCAAATTTGTTCTAAAACATGACATGCCAGTTTATACTATTCCTGTAGAGTACTATACTCTCACCCTTATCATCATACTGACAGAGATGAGCATCACTTTAAAAATCAGACAACTTTGTAAACTAAAAATAAAAACTTCATTTCAAATTAACTATACAGTATCTGGTTACTAGTGAATATACTTTTTAAACATCGTTTTGATATTTTCTCACTTTGATATAGTCACTTGCTTATTTTTCTACTTGGGTATTAGTGTCCATGTTTTGTATTTTTTTTAGACTTTTAGTACCTGAGGTATAATAACCTTTGTGTGTTTTTCTTCCCCCATCTTTATTGATGTATAATTAACAAATAAAATTTGTGCATGCTTAATGTATACAAACCTTTCTGTGTTTAATTTTTACACATCAAAGAGCATGTCATGAAAAATATTAATAGGATATTTTATATGAGGAATAACAACATCCTAAACGAAACTCATTTGTGATAACTTGAAAGTCAACATAATATTATGCTAATAAAGATGTAATGCTCTTTCCTCTTTCTCCAGTAAAACTTTTGTACTGAAAAATACAGCACACATATTGTGTTTGTTAATAAGGATGTAGAATCAAGACTACAGGATACGCAGAGATGTTTGTAAGCAGGAATTTCTTTACAAATCAACTGAAATCATTGCATTAATAAGTAAACAGCATAGCTTTGGGGGATTATATTTTGAACACCTTAGAACAACTGGGCAAACTTCCATAGTAGTTTAAATCATTCTTATGTGTTAACATTGAGCTAAAATGGAAGTATACCCAAGATTATGTGATTTTTATTGCACGTAAAGTGCTTATATACACATGTATCTAGCATGCAAAGTGTATATACAAGCTTTATATTTATACATAGAAACAATATATGTCATGGTTATCTTTGATATTGTAAGCTTTCTCTAGTACTGTAAGATGCATATGTGTATTCTTAAATAATTCTATTTCCTAAGACTATAAAAAAGTAACTCAATTATAAAACTGGCTATAGTACTTTTGTAAATTTATAACCATTTGGAGGCATATGTCTAACATGTCTTACATAGAATTACAAAGAAAAATGTAATTTTAAATAGTAAAATAATATATAAAAACATATACACATAAAATATAAACTAGCAGAGAATTATGAATTATGACAGTAAGTAATGAAAAATGATTTTTTTTCTTTTCTGAGCGCTGTAGAATCCAGCATAAATCAGTGCTTGTAAGAATTACAGAAACCTTCGAGTTGGCTTTGGTGTTAGAGACCCAGGAAGACTCCCATAGAAAGTGTGAGCCTCTTATGTTCTTTGCCAGGTCCCAGAGACTCCTCAGTCTGAAGTGTGATTCAGAGGACCCCACAGCCCATTGGCATCTATTCCCTCCATCCATCATGATCTGCAGTGGAACCCCAAGATTAGGGGCATGGCGAAGTGGGGAGGGGCTGATGGAAGGGGTGTTAGGTGAAATCCTAGAAGAAAAGTCCCTGGAAAATTCCCCAGGACACTTGCCCCCGCCAAGTGTCTTCCCTAAGGTGCTGCGGATGCTGGGCTCTGGGTCCTCCTTCTCTGTCATGGGTTCGAGGTCTGCTGCAGCTAGGTGGAATCTGCCCACCCCTTGAACTCAACTGCACACCTGAGTTCCATGAGCCTTTTTTTCTCTTTTGTAGTTGAGCTGAGGGAGCAAACATTTTGCTTTTCCTCTAAAACTCCCAAGAGATGAAGCCCAGGAGAGGCAGAGGTGAGGCAGGGGTCATGGGAGTCAGATAGAAAAACCCCTGCTGGCTTCTTCTCCAAGGCTGTTATCTGTCACTCTTGGAGCCCTTTGGTCTGTCAACTTGCAAGATGAACTTGAGTGTGGAGGGGAGGAGGTGAGGAAAACTCTTGTGATCCTGAGCCCAGAGGCTTTAAAATCCCGAATGGTCTGTGAGTCCAGCCTGATCCAGTCTCTACTTTCCCTCCTCCTTAAACTTAAAGCACTAGCACTCGGGACAGGATATTTTTGTGCCAAATAGGTAGGCAAGGAAGTTTCGGCCCTCACTTCTGCTTGCCATGATCAGGTTACTTTCCACAGACTAGAGCTGGCTGGGAGGTGGGGGGGCGGGATTTACTTTAAACCTTTTATGTGTATTCACCTTGTGTGGTTGGGTGTGGAGAGCAGGGAAAAGGGGGGTTTCCAAATCGAGTTAAATTCCCATTCCATAGGTATTACTATGACTGTGGGGTTGGCAGTTCTTGAAGATAAGCTAGTCTGTAAATAAGAGCAGAACACAATAGAGTCCCCCTCCCTTCCTCTCTCTCTCTCTCTTTTTTTTTTTTCTTTTCCTGCTTCCAAATGCTTTCTTGGAGGCTGAAGCTGGGCAGCTCTCCAAAGGCGCAGCAGCCACAACAATCCTGCAGTTCAAAGTTAAGCAGCAGTTGCACAACTTCCAGCAACTCTCTCAGCCAGCTACTAATGAGCTGAAAGGCAGGACATCTGAGCAGGGGAAGAGGAAGCTTCCAGCCCTCTTTCCTTCACCCTGGAAACACACACCCCTAGCCTCAGACCACTTTGAGATAAAGCCTTGGATATTTGCTTGTTTTACTGATCATGGCTCCCTTTGGAAGAAACTTGCTGAAGACTCGGCATAAAAACAGGTAGAGGTTTGTGTGTGTGTGTGTGTGTGTGTGTGTGTGTGTGTTCACAGAACCTACATGTGAAAGTATGTGTCTCCTTTCGTTTAGATTCTGATGAAAGCTGATTTGAGGGCACAGAGCCCCGGGGAGTTCAGTATAATGTGAATACCCAGTTCATGAGGGTATTGTTCCAGGATTGATGATGGTAGTAGCCACCACATGTTGGCAGAAAATAATGAACGCTTAATTTTGACTCCCTTTTCCTCTTTTGGTCATTTTGAGTCCACAACTATCATGGACAGTCTCTCTTTTCATTGTTCTGCACTTTTGAGGGTAGTAAGATTACAAGTTTCATTTTGTTCAAACAGAATTTTAGCATATTATAGGTATGGTTAAAAGTTTGATAAAGTCATAACTAGAACTCATAGCCACCTATTAGAATGGAAAACACAGTTTCTGATAGAATTTGGAAGCAAAGCTTTGGTTCCCCTGAGAGGGGGACATTCCTGAAACCTGGTAAGTTCCCAAGTGAAAACACTATGTAGAGAAACTTCTGATGAGCTGTTTCTTTCGAAAATCTTTGAGAACTTTAGGCAGTTTAGGCACTAAGAAAGGATTCCAGCAGCTGCCCTTCTTAATCCGCATTACGACTACTTTGATTCAATTTGATATCCCAAGTCTACAATGTTTGTAGTTTAAATACAAGGACTTAAAATATGTGTACACGCAGAGATTTTTCTTGGACCAATATGTGCGTTTCAGTCCAATTGAACACTTTATTCACAACTTAAATGTTACATTTTTATGCCAAAAATGAGGACAATTTTAATGATGGGCTTTATATTTATAATGTATTTGTTTTGGCATGGGGTTCTTCTACCACTCGTCTTCAATTATACCTGTTTGTGCGTGTCATAATTTGCTAAGTGTAAATTTAAACGGATACAATTACATGGTAGGAAATGATATAATTATTTTAAAGTGTCTGGATGACAATATTATGATATGACTTTAAAATAAATCTCCATACTTTATTTTATATTTACTTTATTCTGCTTTGAGCCCATTCCAAATGTATTAATGATTTTGTTGACTTGGTTTTCTTACAGAAGTAAAATGACATAATAAATACTGTAAAACCTTTTCTACCAGTTTTGTTTACTACTAACTTGATAATGTGTTATAAATGTAGCATTTATGAAATAAGTATTTTTTATGTATACTATAACAAAGTGATTGGAGTATTTTTCAAAAGCTAGATGGGAGTTACCAAGAACAGATTTTTGTTTTACTTGGTGGTGTTTTATTAAAGAAAATATTCCAGAAAGGCATACCAACACCTCCCCAAATTCTGGTTTTTAAGTGATTTTTTGTAGTGCTATTATTATAGCATTGGCATTTGTTAAATGCCATCAAAATATCCAAAATATTACTTTGGAAAAGTTTGTTATTTTGTAAAACAAATTGTGTTTCTGGCAAGCAAACAAGTTTTATATTGAGAGGGTTTTTTTTTTTGAGTGTTTTTTAAAGCAATTCAAGATATCTATCACTGGTTTGCAAAGGACAGTGTAATAACACTTTGTTTGCACCCCAGCAACTTTCCCTTAGAAAAAGTACATTTTCACTTTCACCACAGAAGGTACATACTCACTTTCATCAGGTCAGTTTTGTCATTGCACTATCAATTGTACATAAAAACTGGCTCTCACTGGAGGTAAGGATAGAAACACTTTTAATAAAATATTTTCTATGCAAATTATGAAAAGATAGAAGCAGCAAAAAGAAAATAGGAAGTTTAAATGTGTTTCAAGTTTCTCTGGGAAAATGGAACGGTATCCTGAAGATGTTGTTCTATCATGATCATCAGAGTTGTAGCAAAGGCAGTAACAATGAGGAGCTGTGAAACTGTTCTTACAACTGAGTGCTCCCCTTTCAGATTAGAAAACTACAAATTGAAAGTTAAGCTTAAATCATAGCAGTGGTCAAGAACATGAAAATATGCATATTTCCAAATAAACAATGAATAAATGTCATGATGTATTGAAATAGAATTAATGTATTTTGGTATTTAGTCTTGCTCTTTTAATCTTCTAAAGGTGAAACCACAGGTAAAAATTAGTTAGGTGTTAAATTTATCCATTTTATTTATTAGGTTCCAAAAGAGTTTGAATGAATCCACTTCAACTTACAAAAAAATGTGATGAATGATGACACACTTATTTGATAAGAGATAATAAATTCATCTATCTATCATCTATTTTTCTCTCTATCTATCCAGATAGTATCTTATAGGATATCTATCTATATGTACATATGTATATATAATATAAATGTATTCTATAGGATATATATCCTATATATGTGTATATATATATATTTGTAAGCTACATATATATAGTAGAACATGAATGAAGAATTTAAGTAACATTTCTTTCTTGTGGTATGCAACATAATGAAGTGATTACTTGAGTAAATTGCATCTTCATCATCATGAATAAATATAAATTGCTAAAAGGAATATAGGAGATTTGAGATCATAAAATTTTGTGAAATATTTTTCTGAATTTTTCTGCGTGCTTTTTATCTTTCTTCACTTTTGGAGTGACATTTAATCACCCAAGATTGAAGCTCATAAGAAAGTTCCGTAGTTGCTCTCATAGTAAATGAATATTTGAGAGTTTTAGAGATAAACAGGATGCAAATGAAACTTCAAACAGGAGGCATAACAACTTTGAGAGAACACAAAGTAATGCTTGAAGAGGGTGGGGCTACATCTGTCTAGACACCATAATGTTTTCATGCCTCTAACCGTGCCTGGCACGTTGTGGACCTGTAATACAGTTCTTTATTTCATTTTGTAAGCTAAATTATAATTTCTATTCCAACTAGAAACACAATAATTATATTTTATTCCTTATTCATCATGTGATGTAAGATGGTATTATATTGAACTAAATATTTTAGGACCGGGCATCAGTGGCTCATAACTGTAATCCTAGCTACTCAGGAAGCAGAGATCAGGAGGATCGCAGTTCGAAGCCAAATAGCTTCTGAGACTGTATTTCAGAAAAAACCATCACAAAAAAGGATTTGTGGAGTGGCTGAAAGTGTAAGCCCTGAGTTCAAGCCCCAGTATGGCAAAAAAAAAAAAAAAAATTATAAAGGATTGGTTTGATATAATCAAAACATAAGAAGATAGTAAAATAATTATATTTAAGAATTTAGGAAATATTCTTTAGGAAATTGAAGAATAATACATGTTCTCAAGATAATTTGGGAATACAAAAATTATGATTTTTTTCGAGCTTTCATACAGATAAAAGACGTGAAACCAATCAAATTTTTAATGCTTATAACAGAATTAATCTTTTAAAATGTTTTGATTGTAGTAATGTTTAATTGGAAGAATACAATTTTCAAAAGGTTTCTTGGTCTTAGGAAATATATTGTTTATTTTTGTTGTAGAGTAATAAAATGCTCTGCAAATGAAGATTGCTGAATGTCTTTTTTAATAAGACTTTTGGTCAATGTGAACAATAAAAATGATGCAAATTTCAGACAGTTTTCCAATAAACTATTCAAATTTCTGAAAAGTCACTAGTCAGCCATTGTTTCTTACATAAAACCCAAAGAAGTAAAAAATTAAAGACATTAATTTACTATTCATATGCTCGCTGAATAATTGAACAGGTTATTAACCTATTCACGCAGGTTCCATTTGTGAATGTGATTGTAAGATTATGTTTTCAAAGTAATAATCATTTTATAAATTAGTGCCTTTAAAAAGCAATAAGGATCGTTTCTAAAGTTTACACTCATGGATATGGAACATAATTTTTAAAAAACTTTTTAGACAAAGTCTCTCTATGTAGCCTAGGCTGGCCTTGATCTTGAGGTCCTTTTGCCTCAGCCCCTTGAGTGCTAGGATTAGAGGCATGTGCAACTCACTCAGGACATGATTTCTAGGGCTTTTAATACAATCTGAAGACAGAAAATTGGAACTCTTATCAAAACTTCCTACAAAGAAAATCAGTGATTTTTAAAAAACTTTTTAGACAAAGTCTCTCTATGTAGCCTAGGTGGCCTTGATTTGAGGTCCTTTTGCCTCAGCCCTTGAGTGCTATGGATTAGAGGCATGTGCAACTCACTCAGGACATGATTTCTAGGGCTTTTAATACAATCTGAAGACAGAAAATTGGAACTCTTATCAAAACTTCCTACAAAGAAAATCAGTGAAGCTGTGCCCCTTATATTTGTCTGAAATATGAAATTAGAATAGTTCATGTAGGTGATTTGTTAAAAAAAAACTTACTTTAAAAAGGTTAAATCCAACTAAAAAGACTTTATAATTATTTTCAAGTACTGTTTTGACTTCTGTTTGTTTTTGCTTGAGTCAATTGAAGTCTTTCTCCTGGGTTTCCCTAAGCATATGGATAAATGTTTATCACAGGCAATATCATACATCCTTATATTAAACCTGAATTAAAAGGCCACAGAAAATGTACTTGCAATGAACATATTTTAAGTAAAGTATAGTTCTATTGTTTTATGATTGTTTATAAAATTTGCTTTTGAGCAATTAGAACATGCCTGGCCAGTTTTTTAAAAACCAGGTACATTATATTGCTGCCATAAAAAGAATCATACAATGACTGCATCATTAGAAGAAAGAACTAAGCTTATGGTTAGGGTAAAAGTTTTTGGTAAGAAGAATGTCTCCTCTCTGTAATTAGAAGTATGGTAACCCATGAATTCTGCAAAATGGGAAAATACCATATACTATTTTGTGTGACCATCAAATAAAAGACTTGACACATTCCCAAAATTGTATTAAGAATTGTAAGATATTTGAGTATATAAATCTTCATATTTCTCTGGGTTGACTGAAAGAGATTTCTGCCAAGGATACCCAGGGACTTAAGTAGCTGTTAGTTTACAGTAGACAGCCCATTAGTAACAGTGACTGGAATGTTTTCTCCCTGGCAAAAATATCCCAAGAGCATTGGCGGGGTGAGATTAAG